TCTTCTTGTGGTCCACATGACACTTAACATTCATACAATATTACATACATTAAAAAAATAAAGAAAAAGGAAGAAAATAAAAAGTTAAATACATTCTCCACATTCCAAAGCATCTCTATAAACATTTCTTCCACCCTTTATAAAATCTATAACACCTACTATATATAAAACATATGGCTCATTCAATTAATTTCTATACCTCAACCTCCTATAAGTACAGAATACAAAGGTGTGCCTTTCTGCCTTTTAAAATCAATTTTTCGTGTTATCCTAATTAATGACAATGGTAAAAGATTCCATGATTTCATTGCCCTGCATGTTACTGTACGTTTAAGAAAATTTGCTTTAGCATTAGGGAGAATAAATTTACTCTCTGTTGCTCGTCTAGTAGCATATTCATGTGACTGAACGTTATATTGTAATTGATTATACTCATCCAATGGAGTTTTAAAATGTAAAACCTTCCATGTTTATAACAGTACTGCAGCAATCATCCTATCTTCCACTCTTAGCCATTTAAGATCAAACTGCATACTATTAATATTTGTACCATACAGACACTGGAGGATTAATCTTGCTGCCTTATTTTGTACCAACTGGAGTTTCCTCAAATTCTTTTTTGTAGCATTGGCCCATATTATCTGACAAGCTGTGAGAAGAAGAAAGTGCCAATATTATTTACATTATATCAAACGTAAAATATTGTCTACATCTCCTTACTACAGCTACCACCCTTCCCATTCTCTTCACTGTGTTCTCAAAATGTTTTGACCATGACAATTTATTATCCAGGGTGATACCCAATAGTTTGCTTCCTTAACTTGCTGAATAAGTGTTTTATTTATATAAAATTTCAGCTCCAGTTTGGACCGTAGAGAATAATTAGACCCAAATACTATACTCTTTGTTTTAGATTTATTTAGTATCAACTTGTTTTCTAAAATCTACTTTTCTATACTCTCCAACTCCTCATTCAAAACAGCCGTCAATTCAACCGACGTTTGTGCAGATGCATAAACTGTTGTATTGTCTACATATATTGTTAATTTAGCACTTCTTAATACCAGATATAAATCATTTGTAAAAATGGAATAAAAAAGGTGGTCCTAAACAGCTCCCTTGTGGAACTCCACATTCAATTCCCTTCTATCCGAATAACTTCAGTAAAAAACATTCCTCTCTGTGATCTATTATGCAAATAACTTTCCATCCAAGCAATTACTGATGGTCTAAATTTATAACTCTCCAATTTTTCCAAAAGAAGCTTATAATCAATGAAGTCAAATGCAGCTGTAAAATCTAACAAGACTGCTCCACATATCCTTTTTTATACCAATCATCTGTCATTTGTGTTAAATCTGTACATGTGGAGTGTCCTTTTCTAAAAGCATGCTGATAATTTGATATCAGAGTATTATGTGATACATAATCTTGTATTTGATCAGATTCTTATCTCTCATATAGTTCTTTATATTAAAAATTGTATAAGTATTTTCTGTCACATATGATATTTCTTTCCTCAAATTCTGTATATTACTGCTAAAAAAATCATTCAAATAATTAGCAATTTCTTCAGGTTTTGTCATATAAATGCCTTCACAGTCAATTGAAGTAGGTTGTGGAGACTTCTGTCTTCCCATTATATTATTTAATACCTTCCAAAGCTTCTTCGCATCTTTCTTCTTACTACCTAACTGTATTGTATAATACTGTTTATTTTTATTTTTATTAAGACCTGACATAATTTCTCAATTTACAATATCGTTGGACTACCAGTTTTTATTTTTTTGCTGTTCTCATCGCCTCGTCTCTCTGAGCCATATAATCCTTTAATTTGCTTTCAATCCAGGATGCTCTACAATCCTTTATAATTAATTTCTTAACAGGTGCATGAATATCAGTAACTGGCTGAAATTTTCTAATAAATAATTCAAGTGCAATCTTTTGGTTCTTCTACATCATAAATCTCTGACCACTTTATATTACCAATATCCCTCAAGAAAGCTTCCTGGGAAAACATCCTATGACCTTTTATACACAATTCTTTGCTTAGCTTTGGAAATTTTGTTTTTCCTTGCAATCACAACTATATTGTGATCACTACAACCTACTTGGACTGATATTGCTGTCATATAAAAATCTTCATTGCTCAAATAAATATGATCTATACAAGATGATGTGGACTTGCCCTTATTATTTATGCTTATTCTTGTTGGTTGTCTAACCATCTGTTTCAATCCACATGCATTTATTATATTTACCAATTGATTCTTTAAAAAGCACTCATGTACTAACCAATTAATATTAAGATCACCTAAAAAACAACTTCTATATTCAGCTCACATACCTTATTCAGCATCTCACCCATGTCTTCTAAATATTTATGATTTGAACCTGGTGGCCAATAACAACATCCTACTAAAATTGGCTTGACATGAGGTAAATTAACTTGCAGCCATAGAACCGCCACTTCATTACACATAATATCATCCCTTACTTTTACAGAAATAAAACGGCAATATACAATATACAACATATCACATCACACCTTGATCCTTGTCAAATCCTCACATGTTCTCCTTTATGAACAATGAGTTTATCGTACCTTAAGAAAGCAATGTCCCCTCTTTCTCTTGCAGCTTTCATTTTAGCAATCAGTTCCTTTCTCCTCTTTCGAACCGATTCAGGATAGTCGTTTATAAAAAATATTCGAACCCTTCAGCTTTCTCGCGTTGGCCATCACTCGACCTCTGTCCTTGATTCTTAAAAACGACACCATTGTTGGGTGAGGCCGGCTCCGGATTTCATCCTTTACTTTAAGAACTTTTTCAACCTCGTTGAACGGTGTGTTTAATTCATGTAGCTTTCATTTTAGCAATCAGTTCCTTTCTCCTCTTTCGAACCGATTCAGGATAGTCCTCGTTTATAAAAAATATTCGAACCCTTCAGCTTTCTCGCGTTGGCCATCACTCGACCTCTGTCCTTGATTCTTAAAAACGACACCATTGTTGGGTGAGGCCGGCTCCGGATTTCATCCTTTACTTTAAGAACTTTTTCAACCTCGTTGAACGGTGTGTTTAATTCATGAGACAAACAAAAAAATAAATAAGTGTGGCAACTAAATAGAGGAGATTAGGCTAGATGTGTGCATTGATTGGTTCAAAGTTAATTTATGGTTCATGAATGAATGATCTAACATGACATTAAAACAGTAAAACCAGTTGAAGTGTCAAAGTAAAAAAATATATACATTTCAAATATATAAATGTTACTTGGAATGCTATAGAAGTTTTTTTTTATTTACCTTGAAATATAAGTTTCAAAATCATTTTGATAATACACCGATTTTCCCACGCTGTTCTGGGAGTTTGTAAGTTTGGTGAGCGGGTACGAAATTCTGCGAAAACAGGATTGCTTTACAACAGCAACAAATGCACACGCACAGCTATCGATGAAAGGCAATCGCGACTTTTTTATCTCACAATTCTGACTTTTCTTCTCAGAATTGCAAGTTTATGTCCAGCTATCCACTGTAATTTCGAGATTGGCATATTTACGACTCACCTAACTGCAGGGGGCTCCAAAATAAAAATACAGAAAATTACATACAGTTGACACAGTACAGACCATAGAGATAGAAACCTGTTATATTCTAGATGCCTGTGATTGTGAAAATAAATGTTTAAAAGTCAAATAGGTAAAAACATTTTCAAATATTTAAACCTTATTTTTAAATGATATTACGATGAATTATAAAAGCTAAAATAAACGTATTTATTTATTTATAAACTGTTATTTAAGGGTTATGAAGTGTTGAAGTGGAGTGAATGCTGGGGCTTTGCTAGCACAGTTTGATGCTCGATCATGACAGCAATTAGCTCTCAGCTGTGTGTTAATGACAGGCCCACTCATTATCAGCCTATTACAAGAGCACACTAAAAACACTCAGCACTCATGACAAAACACTGCGCAGCTGAATGAGAACAGCATGAGCACAACCTGTCTGCTCATCTCTGTTGATTTGCACCAACAGATAATCAGATAATGAAACTGGTGAAATGGAGGAGAAATTAGGTATAAATGTGATTTAGCTTATAATGTTAAAAATGCTAGATCATTGATCTGAAAATGGGAAGTATTCAATTTCACTTCTATTAATCTGCAGGAATCACTATTTTATGCATATAAGAATCAGTCAAGAACAAACAGTGCTTATAGGTCTGTCAGATTTGAGCTTCATTTCTTGAGATTTAGATTTAGTTATATGAATGTTGTATGTTTAATATGTGAATTTGAATTCAGTAGACAATAATTGTTTGTCCTCCATTAAAATGAGGTCAGGTTTCTGATAATCAAGGTCACAGATATATTTGAGAGGGTACAAACTGCATAGTCTTTGCATAAAATGTGCCATTTGAAATTCTCAGAACAAAATAGGGAATCATTAAAAGGAATAGTCCACAAAAAAAGACATCACAAAGACTGATGGACTGGAGTGGTGTGGAATATTGTGATGTTTTTATCAGCTGTTTGGTCTCTCATTCTGACGGCACCCATTCACTCCAGAGCATCCATTGGTGAGCAAGTTTAATTTCTCCAAATCTGATGAAGAACAAAAGCTCATCTATATCTTAAATGGCCTGAGAGCGAGTACATTTTAAGCTAATTTTCATTTTTGGGTGACAAAATGAAAATCAAATGGTCTGAGAGATCAGGTGCATCATGTTCAAAAAATGATAACTGTCGACCTCAGAAGGTCAAAATACATTTTACATGAGCTGTTTTATTCTCCACTCATTTATTCATATGAGTTTTGCCATTTTTGAAACAAAAATTTGGGACACCGTCTAAATATAGTTTGTCTAAAACATCTTCATGGAAAGTGGCATGAAATATTAATCACACAGGAAAAAGTATAACGCACAGGAACTCCTTTGATTTTTAAACAAATGTTCTGTCCAATAAAGTACTCATGAAATAAGAAAAAACATATATGATATAATATATTAGCGATTTTTAATACAATAATTTGACATTGACAGTTTTACAATTAGTTGCTGCTGCTTTAGACCAGTGATTTAAACAATGCTCCTGTGGTTTATACCATTCTTGAAACTAGAGCATTTGCAAAAACAGGAAACAGCGTTTGCTGTTAAACAGGTAACAAAAAACTAGGAGAGGAAGCTACATAAGTGGTTTTAAACATTCAAAAATACATTTCTGGATGTGGTAAACTGCTGTAGCACGACTAACTTAACTCGATCTCAAACAGGCCAGAACACCAGATGTTTTGTTAATGTGCCTTCATTTGCTTGATGGCTTATTTTTAAGTCTCTAATAACAGTCTTGACGGTTTAAATGCTTAATTGCATGCTGCTTGTGGATCCCTGCCATTACAATGACAAGGGGGAAAAATCTGTTATTGTTGAGATTACAGAAATGTTAAACGGTCTTCGTGTTTAAAAAAAAGAGGCTGTCTTTGGATGAATAGTGGGAGGCCACAGCTGAGGCCAGAGCTGTAATTATGGTATATGATAAGGTCACTCTTTGAGACCAATAATGATAGCATGTGGCCTGTTTGAGATGTGAGGCTTCGATTTAGAAAAATACAGCTAATGTTAGTAATGTGGTTTATTTACTCTTAAAAAAATGATCATAAGACAAACAGAAAAAGCAACGTGAAAAAGTCGAAAAATATACCCAAGGTGATACATTACACAAACAAATAAAAAAGAAATTTCTAGGACATCACTTAAAATTTCCTTTGAACGGGACCAAAATGCCCTGCAACCTGCCTTCATACTAATACTCACAGGAAGTCTTGCCTACACTCTAAAACTTCTTGATGATTCTGGTCAGTGCATCTTATTTTGGGTTCAAAATACTGAATCTGATGTTATCATATTCATTGCTAAAGACGTGTAGGTTGTTTTCTTTAGAAAATGTTTCTTCATCAACGCTTCCCCATTTAGCCATCAAACACTGGGTTAAGAAAATTCCCCACAGAGTTGTGATCGCTATCATCCAAAAGACGTCTGTAAGAAGAGCGTCTGCAACAAAAAAACAAATAATAAGGCCACTGACAATTAGCAATAATCACGAAAATGAACACTCTCTCTTTTATACCCTAGTATTTAATTTATCGTTAAAGGGTCACAAACTCATTATAATTTTTACCCCAAAATTAAAGACAAAGATCTATTTTAATTAGTGCTGTCAAATGATTAATCGCTATAAATCGCATCCAAAATAAAAGTTTTTGTTTACATAATATATGTATGCGTACTGTGTATCTTTATTATGTATATATAAATTCACTCACGTATATATTTAAGATAAATATGTTACGTTTATATATTAAATATATTTATATATGATATAAATTATATGAATATAAATATATACATGTAAATATTTTCAAAATATATGCTGTATGTGTGTGTACTTATATATACATAACAAATATACACACATATATTATACGTAAACAAAAACGTTTATTTTGGATGCGATTAATCGCGATTAATCGTTTGACAGCACTACTTTTAAAGTCATACATTTTTAGAATTTAAAAAAAATGCAATAGTCCTAAAACAGACTATCTTTGTAATTTATATGATCAACTTTGTGAGATTCACCGTAAGATGCTTTGGAGGGGGGAAAAAGGAAGGAAACTACAAATAACTTGACTCACCGCATTTTGAAGTAGTACGCACCAACAAGTAAAATTAGTACAATGGCAATAAAGACAATTACGATGGCAGCAACACTTCCTAGAAAGGAATAAGAAAAATATATAGTTTGATGAATCATACATGACATATACAGAAGTCAGTCATGAAAGCTATTTCAGGTATATGACTAGTAAAATTACTTGCTTGTATGCAATACAAAATATCATATATACAGTATACTGAAAAGGCCAATCAAACTGCAGCTGAGTGAAAAAGCTTTTCTTTTCACATACAGTGGCCCAGAAATGTATAAGACATGCTTAAAGATGTCAACAGCATTAACAAAATATCAAACAAGGTGTAATTAATTTTGAAGAAAAGATAACACAAACATTACAGCTCACAAAAAGAAATCTGTCGGATTTGAAATGATAAAACAACTGATATAGGCTAGTGTTCAAAATGAAGACAAAATGATCGTTCCACTTTGTGGTTGCCACGTGCTAGTGAATTATGTCCATGTGATTCTCTACACCTGTGGTTCCTCATGTGTGTGTGAACTTGAGGAGACATTACTTCACACATCCACTGAAAATCACTGGCACTGCAACACCATTTAACTAAACTAAGCAAAAATGAGTTCTGAGAAAAGCTCTAACATATTGTTTGCAGATGACACTTGTTATTCAGTGCTAAGACATTCAGACATGTCCAGATGGCACTATCACTTTCGGGCACAGCTTTTCCAGTAAGTTCTCATTCAAATTCTAATACATCCCAGACAGTGACACTTAGCTGCCATTGAACATAAGTCATCAACGCAGTACAAAGTGCAAACATCATAGATGCTTATGAAAAAGGTGAGGAACAATTTAGCCTTTACAGGAAAAGGCTAGTGAACTGTTAATGGTTCAATCACTCAGTTACTGTATTAAATATTAACTTCAGACACTCCTAAAGTGTTTGGGAATCAGTGCTTTGGATGTGTACAAAATAACAAATCCAGCTGTTGAAAACACTAACCTGTTGTAACCCATCTCTGACCTTGATCGAAACCCAAGAACTTTGCATCTGACAATACAGTTTTATTACAGGCTTAACAAATAACAGGGTTGTACTTTTACGATTTTCAGCTAATGAATTTCATGCTAGACATTTCATCCTAAATCTATTTTAGGGACGCATGGTTACATTTCAGCTTAAAGCTATGTAGGGCTGCACGATTAACCGCATGCGATTGTCATGCGCATCTCGTCAGTAAAGCCGGTTCTGTGATTAGTAGTAAATCTCCAGCACCTGCTTTCAGATGGAGCGGCATTTACTACACAGAGCCGTAGATCACTGACAAGCTACGCAATATCGTGTTCATAATTGCAGATGAATCGCCTTCGATTATGAACACGATTGCGTAGCTTGTCAGTGATCTACGGCTCTGTGTATTAAATGCCGCTCCATCTGAAAGCAGGTGCTGGAGATTTACTACTAATCACAGAACCGGCTTTACTGACGAGATGCGCATGACATTATCGTGCAGCCCTAAAGCTATGCTTTGGAAAGTACTGAAGTGGTTAACCTCAATAAAATAGGTTGTATAAAGTGGCCAAATTTACCAGAACTGACCCTACATACACTGTAAAAAATGACCGTGAATTTAACGGTAAAAGACTGTAAAAATGCTACAGTAAAAACCTGTTAAAAGGTTAACGGTAAATTCCCCTACTATATACGGTGAAAAACTGTATTGGACATTTTTTTTTACAGTGTAGGCAACAATATATAAAGCCTCATTAGGAAATAAAATACATACACCTTGACCTACTTGAGATCTGGAGCAGAAGGTCAAATAACAATCAAAAGGTTATGCTTATTTAACCTATATATAAACAGGCCAACAGTTGCATAAAACACACTGTATAAAAATATAATATTCTTTTAAATAAAATGAAATATTTACACACAGTTTTAAAAAAGAGAGAGAATGCACTCATACCTGAGCTCAGGGCCTCTGGATCCTTCTTTTCTTGGTCAACAGAATCTGGGGGTTTGGTTGTTACTGGTTTTGTGGTTGTTGCTGCTGCTGCTGTTTTTGTTCTTGTTGTTGCTGCTGCTGCTGCTGTTGTTCTTGTTGTTGCTGCTGCTGTTGTTGTTCTTGTTGTTGCTGCTGCTGTTAGCATGAGGTGGTTTGCTGGTCTTTCCTCTGCTCTTGGCCTTCAGCTTAATCAGTTTAGCGCCGGTTGGCTAGGCTGGGTAACCAGATAAACTATCTTAGACAAGCCAGGAACAACAAACCAACTTAGACTGGTTTAAGCCAGTATTTTGGGCAGGGAAAGAAGTGCATTTAGGCTATTCTGTCAACAGATAAGTCGTTAACTGTGGTGAAACAGGAAGGAATAATAGAACAGTCTAAACGGAAAGCAGTACCTTCTTTCATGCTTTAGAGGCGTGTTCAGGGAACGGCTGTAGTTTCAGAGTGACTGTTACTGTATGTCAGGATGTCATTTCAAACATGCTTTCGTGGTTTCGAGTGCGCATTTCCGTCTCCAAAATGATGCAATAACCTGTACAGAAAATGACAACGTGCCAGAACATTCAGAATGCTACACTTAAAGCATTCTAGAGCAGTCTTATTTTAGTAGCCTATCATTACTCTAATAATTTTTTATTAATATTTGGAATTAGTTTGAGCTTGCTGTGTTTTTGTCCCCCCCCTTAAATATGTCTATATAGTTTTTATATAATTAATTATTAATAGTGCTGTCAACCGATTAATCGCGATTAATCACATCCAAAATAAAAGGTTTTGTTTACATAATATATGTGTGCGTACTGTGTATATTTACAATGTTTATATAAATACACACACACATGGTTACACACACATGGTTTGACAGCACTAATTATTAATTAACACATTGAATGAAATGTGATAAAGACTGAAATAGTATTTTCTTGTATAAACATTCAGCAATAATCTTTTAATAATAGTTTTATTTGCTACTTTGATTTTTATGCTACATCAAGTTTAACTAATTGATAATGAGACAATGATTTAAATAAATTATGAGTCATATCACTAAACTTTTTAGATAACAGAATTTCAGAAGACTAAAAGAAAAGGGATTTTAAAAAAGACAAAAGAGATTAAAAATAACCCAAAGAACCCAACCACAGTTATTTCAATATGTTGTTTAAACTTAACTAATGTAATATCTATATATTATTTTTTCCATTTTCCTTTTCATTTCCTTTTTATTCTTAAAAATGTACAAAATGTTCAAAACAATAACATATTATAATAATTACAACTATAAAGGTTCTATGTGTTAAAATAAATGACATAAATGAGAAAGTGAAATCAACAATAAAAGGAAAAAAAATCACAAAAATATGGAGGGCCAAATTACTCAAAATTAAATAAATGTCGAAATATGTAAATAAATTGTTAAATACATAATTAAATACATATTTAAATAATTCAATACATAAATGCATTATAAATAAATCATTCATTTATTTCCTTCACATTTCATTTTCAGGATTACGGTTTTCAGCACGTAACCCTGAAAATAAAATAAAATAATGAATTATTTAAACAAACAAACAAATAAATAAACAAATGATTGAAAGAATGAATGGATATTTATTTATTTAATTATGTATTTAACGATTTATTTATATATTTCGGCATTTATTTAATGATTTAATTTTGAGTAATTTGGCCCTCCATACACAAAAATATATTGGGTCTTGTTTATTTTAAAAAGTTGAGTAGAAGAAAAAAAAACAGTAGGCTATATCAAATGAAATTGAATGCATATTCCAATTAAACTTTCAAATAGCACTTTATGAACAAATGATCACCATCAGCACCAGAGTCTCTCCCGAATCTTTCGAGCCGCGCGTGATGTAACCCTCAGTGGGCGGGGCTCCACAGGTGCGCCTAGGACAGGTTGTCGAAACCTGGAGCGGGTTTGATGTTGACAAGCGCAGACAGTCACGTGACGTTCAACAATAGCCAGATTTTACGGGATCCTCCCACGAGAAGTTTCTGCCGCCCAGCTACTTTTTAAACAACCGGAAACAAATCCATTCATTGCCAGCAAGGCTATTTTTGTGACCCGAATCCATCATCATGCGAACTCCAGGGATTTTTATTTTTGGGATGGTGCTCGCGCCTTGCGGCTGGATCCTGGAGCTGACCAGCACCGTGGCACCAGCCTGGCGCACGATCAACAACATCCCGGGGGAACCCAGCGACGTGGTCCTCCAGCAAGGATTATGGGACATCTGCAGGACGTTCACATCGTCCCGGGATATTCTGTGCAACCAGCAGGACACGCAGTACTTCAGCGCCCAGGTCATCCAGATCGCCAGAGGTCTGATGCTGTCGTCGCTCATTCTCAATGTCATTGCCATCGGCGTGGCATCAGCTGGAGTGCGATGCTGGACTGAGAAACCGCTCTGGACGGTCGCTGGGGTCGGAGGTCTCCTCATCTTCATCTCAGGGGTCCTCACCATCATCCCAGTGGCGTGGTACACTCACACCATGACCTCCATCTTCTCCGCATCCACCGATGTTCGTGTGGGATACTGCCTGGTGCTGGGCTTCATCGGCGGGATCATGGAGGTCCTCGGTGGGCTGGTGATGTCCATCGGCTTGTGCCGGCGCTGCAGCGGTCAGAAGCGCGATCCCTCTCCGCCGCGCAGAGACACGGTGCCCAGCGTCAGCAGCGGCAGCAGCGGCCCGTATTACTCCAAACAACGCGAGGTGGACTTCGCACGGGCCAAGAGACAACCGGACAGCAGACCAGCGACTAGCACTGCTTATGAAGCACGACCTTACGACACAGATTTGTGAAAGAACTAACTTTTGATCTTGTGAACAAACTGGACGCAAGAAACCTTACGAAAATCACCATGATAACCGTCGCTTACCGCGTAAAAATCGCGATTATCGATCAGATGAAATCAGATTTCTTTTTAATGGCCGTTCTGTTTAGTGGTTATCCCTATTACATGTTTAACCTCTTAACTGTCCCCTGTCCCCTCAGAGGAAGCCTAAGTTTACTTCACTATATTACAATTCAATCCTAATCATGACAAACTATAGCCTATATCGTTGGAAAAGTCTCCGAAATAGATATTTTACCAGTTTTTTGTTACAAATGATGTAGGGACGGTAATAGATTAATTTATGACAAGAGTGCTCCTCAAAAATCTACATCATGACAGGAGTTCTGACCTTTGTCACAAAAAAGTATTTATTTTTTCTTATCATCATCATAAATTAGATGTCAACTGAAAGCGTAAAACCTCAAAATTCATCATGTGAAAACCATTTTAAAATCTGACATGGCTTTACCAAGGAAAGCCATATTAAAAATGCATTCGTTCATAAATTATAAGTTTGGATAGTGCACTTTCACACCCATATTCAAAAGAGTTAAGAGGTCAATGTAAAATATTTAGGAAAATATGTATTTTGTACACTGTAAATCTTAATTTGTTAACTTGGAAAGACTTGTTGCTTCAGAAAATAAGTTTACTTAGTATATTAAAGTTTTCATAAATTGGGTTTTGAGCAACTAACTAGATTTTTAAGTTTGCAAGATTTAATTTTTTTCAGGTAGACTAACCTTAACATTGAAATTTACCATGTAAGTGCCTTATATTTTACAATGAAGTGATAGAGTCACTGTAAAATTTACAGTGAAAACCGTAAAAGGATGTGGCCTAAATTTTATATAGTCGTTTACACATATTTTTATTGCAAGTCACGTGTTTTAAGTTACGTTAGGATATTTAGTTCATGTTAAACATTATTTTAGTGTGTGTGTGTAGGCCTACTGTCTGTATGTTTTTATTAGCCGTGGTTCACTGAAAGGCTATTTTGATGAACTGTAATTCATCATGTGACCTATTGTTTTACCACCTGTATTATCATGGATGTTATCGGTCATGTCAGCTATAGTATTTTAGCGGAAACGATGGATACCATCATAAATATTGTACCTGGTAAGGTTTTGAAGTTCTATTGAAGAGCACTAGTTTGGTTTTGTACATTGCACTTTATATTGTGAGGCCCTCATCATTGCAGTGGCAGTAGGCCTACCTTCGATGTCTTTTTGTAGTACACTCTTAAAAATAAAGGTGCTTCACGATGCCATAGAAGAACCTTTTTGTCTAAATGGTTCCATAAATAACCTTTAACATCTGAAGTCTGAACATCTGTTTCACTAAAGGTTCTTTGTGGCGAAAAAAGGTTCTTCAGATTATAAAAAGGTAAGAAGGAGATGGTTCTTTAAAGAACCTTTGACTGAATGCTTCTTTGTGGAACCGAAAATGGTTCTTCTATGGCATCGCTTGAAGAACCTTTTGAAGCACCTTTATTTTTAAGAGTGTAGCCTAGTAATGTGTAAATATGTATCTTATCAGGAACCTCTCGAGTTTGTACAGTTATACCAAGTACAAAAAGCAAATACATTCTTCTGAAGGAAGCTAATCTTTGCACAACCGCCGCTCACAGAATAGGCTTTGAATGTTTGCAGAAATGTCTGTCACTGGTGTTTACGATAGACAGAATGATATGCAGAATATCTCTGTGGAAGTTTTTGTGAACGGTAATGTCGTAAGTGACGACCACCCATCAAATTTAGGGCAAATGATCGAAGGCTGTTTATTTTTCTGTATGTTTATGATTGTGATAGATGAACAATATCCTCATATGTTTACCTGCATTAATATAATAAAAAATACGTTTACAAACTGTTCATTTTGAGTACAATTTTATGCATTCCAATAATAAATGTTATCCTCTTTTTACTGATTGCGATTTTACATTATACTTGACATTTTTTGAACCTATATTCTATAATATTTGAATGTACAATAAGTAATATAGTAACTTATCAGCATGATATAATTTATTATTATTATAACATCTATAACTACTGACCATGTGTTGGCTTTCAGCATAATGTAAACTGTAAAGCAGTTGCGAAACAATCGAACAAACCAAAAACATGAAAAAAATGAAACCGCAAAAATGTACACTCTAAAAAATGCTGGGTTAAATAAAACCCAGTGCTGGGTAAAATAGGGACAAACCCAGCAATTGGGTTGTTTTGACCTAGTAACTACCCAGAAGGTTGTGTTAAACATTTAACACAACCGCTGGGTCAAAACAACCCAATTGCTGGGTTTGTCCCTATTTTACCCAGCACTGGGTTATATTTAACCCAGCATTTTTTAGAGTGTATATTGTAACATTATTTGGCCCAATTATCAACTAAATGAATGAACTGTATAAATGAAATGAAAAGGCATATGTGTGTGAAACATTTTATTTTAAGACAATTTTGGACTAGGTGATTGAAACCAACATAGACAACTTGCTATTAAACAAAAGTTTATTAAGATGAACTTTTGACCTGAAACCTCATTGTTTCTCCAACTTTTCTTTGAGACAACTTGCCCCAGTCTCTTCTATTTATCCCCTAGCCCTGCATACTGGTGTTCCAGGTTCAGCTGAAACATGGCATGCATCGAAAACCAGTTTTGTCTGTGTTTGAACCAAACATTCAACACCACGCCCTTCAGATGCTAATCATACGGAACCACCTCCTCCAAGTTTCAGTATGTTTCTTCTTAAGCACCAGACACATTCGACTCGCTCCAGAAGCGGACAGCAGCTCAACCCTTAGCCATGCGGACTCCGGGGATCCTGATATTCGGCATGGTCCTGGCCCCCTGCGGATGGATCCTGGACCTGACCAGCACGGTCGCGCCCAACTGGCGCACCATCCACAGCCTGGCAAACGAGCCTACCGATCTGGTGGTGGAACAGGGAATCTGGGACATCTGCAGAACCTCCACAACGTCTAGATCCCAACAGTGCAGCCAGCAAAGCAACGACCAAATTTATTTTAACAGCCAGATCATTCCGATCGCGAAAGGAATGATGGTCGCGTCGTTGATCGTGACAGTGATCGGCCTTGCGGTGGCAACATCTGGAGTCAGATGCTGGAAGGACAGACCCAGATGGATACTGGCTTCTTTGGGTGGCCTCCTTATCTTCTGCTCTGGGGCCCTGACCATCATTCCCATTGCGTGGTACACTCATATCCTCACCAGCATCAATTCCACCTCCGTCAAAAGAGATCCAACCAAAACGGATGACATTCGTGTTGGCTACTGCATCATTTTGGGCTACATCGGAGGCATCATGGAGGTCCTTGGGGGTTTTGTGATGTTCCTCGGGATTTGCTCCTGCTGCGGTGGACGCAACCGTGGAGAAAAGTCTCGATCCTACACGACACAACGGCCGGCAATGGACAGACCGACGCCTCTGCCGAGGGTCAACGTACAGAGAAGCTTCAGCAGGAACACTGAAAGCAGCGTGCCGTACTCGCAGAAGTCACTGGACGACGACCTGGACTTCCCAAGAGCCAAACCCCGAGACAGAGGATCCGTCAACACATCCTACACCGGAAGACCTTACGATGCTGATCTGTGAAATTGCTAACTTAGTCAGTACATACTGTGAATATTTTGTGAGATGTAACAACTGTTAAAGACCTGAGAGATGTTTGAACAACTGCACTAAATTAAAGTTCTTTATAGTCACTGATGGTTCCATTTAGAACTGTTAACATCCTTTCGATTGCACAACAGTTCTTTATATTTAGATTTTTAGGGTACTTTAGAATAAAATGTTTTGTTTTCACTGAAAGGTTCCCAAAAAGGTTCTTCTATGGAACCACTGCACAAAAAAAAAAAAAAACTTTATTTTTAAGAGTGTAGGTGACCATACACTTTCTTACTTCTAAAAGTATTTTACATGTTTACAACAGTTACTGATTGTACTTGCAGTTGCACTTTTAAGCTAAGCAACATGAAGGTTTTTAGAGTTGTAAATAGACTAAAATCAACCCATGCATCTTAATGGAAGATATAAGCTATCAGTATGATACTGCAAGATTTTATAAAAACAAGCTCATTTGAACAATGAATTGTGCAATATTTTCTTTTGCTGTGGAAAAACAACCTAAAGCTAGTCAAAAGATGTCTGTGATGCAGTGTAACTAGTAATACTGGTTGTGTCAGTTTTAACTCCATTGCATGCTCTGCAGCATGTGGGTCATGCTTGAATTGTCAGCTGATCCATGAGTCATGTGAACAATGTAGTGATAGACATGAAGTATATTGCTCCACAAAATCAAGTTTGTTGTATTAAACACCTAGTTTTTGTGTTATTTTGTTTTTACATTTAAACCTGTGGCTATACATTAATATCACAAATAAATACTTTCTGCCATTGCATAATAAATGATCAGCTGCTTCTTGTATGACAGCGTATACCTTCAGTCTGGAAGTACAAAACAAACTTTCCTGTTACACAGCAAAAGAGAAAATGTATTAGAACAATACATTAATCAAGTTAATCATTAACTATAAAACAGATACTCAGAAGTGCAGCAGTGCACATGAGGTTAAATGGTCTTACACCATGCATCCAGATAAAGGGGGTAAATAAGATTATAATGACTTTATTTTACTGTAATTCCCCATTGGGGTCAAGGTTTGTGTGGTTTCTAAACAGCAATCCGCCATCTGTAATGGTTCTTCATTTTATTTGTGATTTTTTTTGTATTAAAGTACTATTTATTAAAAGCAAACACTGTTGTAAATGTGCATTGATAACTACTGTTTTACAATAAACAGTCCCTAATCAAAAGACCTGATGAAATAAATACAAGGAAACACTTTTATCTTTTAAGAATAACTTGCAGACATTATAACAATATATATATGTATGTATATATATATATGTGTGTGTGTGTGTATATATATGTGTGTGTGTGTATGTATATATATATATATATAGTACAAAAATGCACTTACCTTGTCTTCCATTTATAATGGAATATTTCAACATGAACTTGATGTTTATTATTGCAAATATTATATAACATATTGATAACAGAAACTAGGGGCATTAAAACAAAAGTATATAGCAAACTAATGTGAAATTAATTAATTTACATGGATAAAGATGCCTTAATTAGGAAATGTCAGATGAAAAGTCCTTTTCATGTGGAAACATATCGCCAAAATATAGCAAATATTGTTGAAATGCACTGAATCAGATATTCAGTCTGAAATGACAAAAACAAATATCTTTATTCAAAAATACTGTACAGACAGTTGAATGAGACCTCTACTAAACTAAATAAAAAAAGGTTGAATGCAGAGTTGTTGTGAAACTCCACAAGTAAACGTAAACACAACCAAAACCCATAAAAAAAATGGCATGACTGTTTTCCATAAATGCTTGGAAAAGATACTTGTCTGTGGCTTATCAGTCCATGAAACTAGTCAGCTTTCAGTTATTCAAACTCACCAGTCAGGACTGAGCTAAATATAACAGCGGAAAAACAGCTCTGAAATACCTGGCATGTTTCAGGAACCAGTCAATGCATGTTTAACGTGATTTGCATGTATCTCTCCTGCAGGTACACCAACCCAAGTCATGCTCTAGAATCATTCAAATGTGCTGCGGACTTCACGTATTTCATATACAAAAGTTTTCAGATAATGCTGAGTGCATTCAGTCAATATTCAATACCTACATATGCACACCAGTATAACATGAGATGAATATATCTAGGCTATTCATGCACATTTAAGTGTCATGGTGGAAAGTTTATGTTCATGTGTTGATGGTACTGTTTGAAGTAGGAAACAAAGAGAGAGAGAAATGAGTTAGTTACCATATTGTGATCATAATAGAGTTCATTTGAGTCATTGTGATGTAGAGCGACAAACCTATTTTATGGCACGCTGCATTAAAACATGTTAAAGATGTGCTCCATTTCTTAACAGGGCTTCTTCAGCTGCCTTTTTTCTGTTGACAAAATGATACATCTGGTTTACAGACTTTTTCCATCACTGCAAATCACGCAACACTGAAATCATGCTATTAGTTTCTTTAAAAACACAAAAGTCTGACATGCAATGACACAAAAGTGTGTACGGTAAATCTTTTAAAAAGAGAGTTTAATAAACGTGCCAAATTCTTAGAAATGAACTTTTTGTGTTCATGCTAGTTTCATTAAAGGGATCATATGATGCTGCTATAAAGAACATTATTTTGTGTATTTGGTGTAATGAAATGTGTTTATGCGGTTTAAGGTAAAAAAACAAACACTTTTTTTTATTTTCCACATACTGTACATTGTTTCTCCTCTATGCCCCGCCTTTCTGAAACACGTAGATTTTTACAAAGCTCATCGGTCTGAAAAGCGAGGTGTGCTCTGATTGGCCAGCTATCCAGTGTGTTGTGATTGGCCGAATACCTCAAGCGTGTGACGGAAATGTTACGCCCCTTACCATACTGTGATGCCGTGTCCGGCCGGAGCGACGAGACAAAAACATTAAAACCCATTACAAACGAGGCATTCGTTGCATCCAGTGGGGACATAATTACGGATAATAATGACTTATACTGTCTTTTTACGCGTTGCATTGCATCGCACCGTGTAAACATAAAACCATGTCTGCATTTGTGATCGGAGAAATGACAAACAACAAGCGCTACTCTACACTGCTCAAAACTCGCGTTTGAATCGTCAGTGGCAAATCCTTTAAATATAAAAAACGTACTTACAGGCTGTGAGTCAGAACAGCCGGCATTGTAGTCTACTCTACCAGGATCAGGAAACAGTCCTCCATAAAATGTGCTGCACACATCTGAATATTTGGGTTGAACTGTTCTGGTACAGTGTTGTAAACATAACTTAACCACTGATTTCTATTCATGTCCTCTTTTGGAAGACCAAACAAAGTAGTTTTGCTTTCACAACTAACACTCCAAAGAGAAAGGAAAAAATTGAAATCACATCATATGATCCCTTTAAGTTATAGTTTGGAATAAACGTTATATCATTTCACGTAATTATACCGCAAATTTAAAAACTGTAAATCTGTCATGGTGTAACCTTTAAGTAAAAATGAATAAATTATTTTCCTTACACTTTGAATGCATGCGAGTACACACACTTTAAAGGAGTAGTTCACCCAAAAATGAACATTTGTTGAAAATCAGTTCTTTCTTCTTCAGATTTGGAGAAATGTAGCATTACATCACTTGTTCACCAATGGATGCTCTGCAGTGAATGGGTGCCGTCAGAATGAGAGTCCAAACAGCTGATAAAATCATCACAATAATCCACACCACTCCAGTCCATCAATTAATGGCCTGTAAAAAGAAAAGCTGCATGTTTGGATGAAACAAATCCATAATTAAGACATTTGAACTTTAAACCATCGCTTCTGGCCAAAATATGAGTTTATAATCCACAACGCTTCCTCCCGTGAAATCTCCTGTTGTTCTCAAAATCCACCAACATATTTGTTTAGAGCTGTTTTTGTTCATCTGTGCATATTTCTCACCTGATTCAGATAAAAGTACTTTTTATCACTGGAGGAAGCCAGAAGCAATGGTTTGAAGTTAAAAATGCTTTGATGATGGATTTGTTTCTTACAAACTCTCAGCTTTTTACTTCACAAGGCATTCATTGATGGACTGGAGTGGTGTGGATTATCGTGATGTTTTCATCAGCTGTTTGGACTCTCATTCTGACGGCACCCATTCACTGCAGATGATAAACTGGTGAGCAAGTCATTTAATGCTACATTTCTCCAAATCTGATGAAGAAAAAAAAACTGTCTATATGATATCTATCTAGATGATATACTCCTCATCATGATACTTTTATTGTTTATGCGTTTTCTTTAATTTATTCACATTGACCAAATTAAAAACTAAGTGTATTCATTCCACTGTATGCATGAACTGCATTTTTTATGTAATCCTGATTTAAATGATAAAACAAAAAAAAGATCTCAGTCTCACCTCTTCTTCGCCTTTTGCCTTTGCTGGAAAAAAGCCATCCCAAAGAGCAGGATGATAAAGCCAATGATGAAAGCCAGGACGCCGAGGGTGAGCGGCACAGACAGAGCATCATTGATTGTTTCGTTACAGGTGTCTCCAATGTAGCCCAGCTTACACTCACAGGTGGGCTTCCCGTCCACCAGCACACATCTACCATATTTGCATATTATATCGGCACATGCAATCAGATGGCGAGACACACCACCATCATCACTGGCAGAAACAGACATGCTGAAGCTCTGAAGTATAACAAGAAAACACATGCAAACTACATAAACAAATGCTGTTTGAAGAACAGAGACTCTGAGCAAATCAGGCAGAGACAACAAGGTTGTGGAGAGTGGGGTAAGATGTGCCACTTTCACAAAATCTGGGCTCTAGGCAATTACGTATAGTTGGTTTTCAGGATCTCTGTTTTCTAATGTAATTAGAAGAAAACAGAAATATTGTAAGTCTGTAGAAATATGCCTTAAAAAAAAAAAAAGTGGTGCGGTGACAACTTTCCTCAGTTTAGGGTTAATGCATAAGCTGAATTAATAGACATCAATGATTTACTATCACTTATAGGTTTTTTAATGTTTCCAAAAGACATCTGATAATACAGAATAAAAACAGAAATATTGTGAATTACTGTTACAGTTTAAAATAACTTTTAATATATTTTAAAATGCGATATTCTGAAATATTATAAATGTCTTTGATCAATTTAATGCATCCTTGCAGAATACAAATATTTATCTTTTGAAATAAATATTTATATGAAATAAACAATAACATATATAATAAATAAGCAAACAAACCATTAACATATTTAAATAAACATGATAGAAAGTTATAAAATATATAATTATTATAAATATAAAAATACAATAGATATTTTAAAATAAATGTAAATTCAAAATAAGCAATTATTTGACAAATATTTTTATATTTGAATTTCAAATATTTATTTTGAAACTAATCTTTCTGATCCTAAAAGTACACTCAAAAAAAATGCTGGGTTAAATACAACCCAGTGCTGGGTAAAATAGGGACAAACCCAGCAATTGGGTTGTTTTGACCCAGCGGTTGGGTTACTACCCAGAAGGTTGTGTTAAACATTTAAACATTTAACCCAACCGCTGGGTCAAAACAACCCAATTGCTGGGTTTGTCCCTATTTTACCCAGCACTGGGTTGTATTTAACCCAGCATTTTTTTAGAGTGTATGTACTGTATGTATGTGCATAGAGTATATCGTTTACACAATTTTAGATGTAAATAAATTCTACAAATCTTACTACAGTTTTCAGCATAAAAATGTCACTTTTCTCATATGTATGTCACATTCACACATTTGCATGTGATGGACCCTAAACATAGCCATATGTTTTCAATGGACAACACAGTTTACCAAATGACACATGGTTTCAAGAAAAAAAAATCTAAAATACAAACTAATTCTTTAGAAATATTAAATGAACATAAGCGTTATCACTTAACACAGGCAAATGCATATGCATTATTTTAAAGCAAGTTCTCCAAGCAAATGAATGTACGGTACAAACTAACACACGATGAAGACATCTGAAACACACAAGCCCCAACAAAACAGAATGAAAGCGTGCAGGCAGCCTGTGCATTTGATGCCAGCTTACAGACTTCAGGTGCACACTTAAAATACTCAGACGAATGCCTCCCGAAGGCAAAATAACGACCGAAATGGAGTACACGTTTCAATCTAGGCTACTCACCATTTCCCATGTGAAAACTGACAAACATACATTCAGAACTATGACTGGAATGCAAAACTGTAGGGGTTTACCTGTGTTCAAACGAGGAAAAGATGGTGACAGAGATGGCTTTAGAACAGATGAATGCATTGAGACAGAAAAGAGACCCACCCATTCACCACAACACTCAGTGAAACCAAACTCCTGCCAGGTAACACATGGCCAAGGAGGAGTGAACTCTCAGCTTACAGGACAAATAAGGGCCAGATGAAGATAGCACCGGAGTAACAGTTTGAGGGCATTTAAATCAGTGTAGGATGTGGCACACTGGTGCCGTGACGCCCGGTAAACCACCACACACTTCCGCGAGCGTCCTGTTCTCCCTCGTTCAACGCCAGCAACGCCTAATAAAGCCACGTGAGTAGGCTAGGGTGGGCAAAAATTACGTACATTTGTATTTTAATGCAGGTATGTTTTATAGTTAAATACAATTAAGAGACTGCAATAATTAAGTTGTTATCCTCTCATGATCTTAGGACTGAGACTGGCTCACCGACTCGTTCGCTCATGAATCATTCAGTCAAAGTTTGTCAGCGACAGGAGTAGCTAATATAAAATGTGCCTATATAAAGGTTAATCTCAGCAAGTGTCAAGTAACGTCCGATTCGTGAACGGTTCATTCCGTAGAACCGATTCACACATTCATTTAGCCTCGGTTGAAGTAAAAGGGGATCTTTTTTGCTCACTCACAGAATCCAAAGTCCTCACCTTTGCTCAAGTTGCAAGATCCTTTTGGATTTAAGATTATTTGGATAGAAACGCATTTGTTTTACTTTATATTGGATTCTTCTCCGCTTTATGCAGTTGTAAATGTAATAATTTCCATCTTATTTTTATTATTATTTTTAAAGGGGTCATGACATGGATATTTCTATTTTAATATGTTCCTTGAGGTTTACTTATAATGTTAAAGGGGTCGTATGATGCGATTTCAAGTTTTACTTTCTCTTTGGAGTGTTACAAGCTGATTGTGCATAGATAAGATCCCTGAAGTTGCAAAGACTAAAGTCTCAAAACCAAAGAGATATTCTTTATAAAAGTTAAGACTCTGCCACGCCCCCCTAAAACGGCTCGTTCTAACACGCCCCCACATATCTACCTCACTGAAAAACAAATATTTTCAACCCTCATTCTGACCCTCTCTCTAAAACTACCTGCTTTAAGGGGCATGTCCTTTAAGGCTTGTCAGTAATCAGCCACAGGTATGATTGGCTAACATCATTGCATGGGGACCAGTATGTATGCCCCCTCGCTACTGCATGTGAGCATTTTGACAACATGATCAAAAACAAAACGGCCATTTCCAGACAAAGCATTATGAAATCATTAACTTTAGGTAGTCAGATCTAGTACCACTTAATCCACTCTATGACACGGTGCCTCGTTTACAAAACAAAATGCTCCAATCAATCCGCTGACACCATCAGGGATGCCATTCAAAATAAACTATACACTTGTTCTTTACGCTGGGATCCTTTGGATATCTGTAGACGCAAATGAGGGGTTTAACCCAAATGTATCACATTTGAATTTTGTTCCACAAACTCTGATGGCACAAAGACTGATTCACACAAGCGAGCCTCTTCCTCTTGTTCAGGTACTGGTTCATGTTTCAAATGGGGGGGATGGGTTGGAGAAAAGAGAAAGTATTGAAAGTAGGCCTGGGTTTGCATAACCAAACAAGACTGTGTGTTGTGCACAGGAGGAGACTGAAGCCCAAGGAGGAGCAGCAGGTTATTTAAAGAAGCAACTCAAATGACCAAGCAATAAAGACCTCGAAGCTTTGAACTTAACAGTTATAGGAAACATACAACTATAAAATGAGAAAGACTGTAAAACTACATTTGTAAATGTGTGATAGACAAAAAAATAAATAAATAGGACACAGGACTGCAGATCTGCTTCTTGCATATAAAAGTACATGTAGTTTCAGGCTATAATTAATTATAATTGCTTTGAGACTTCCAATAAAAACTACACTCTCTTTGGTTTCACAATCCCATTAGGTTTCTGTTCTGGCATTAATCCTGCAGTGTCCTTTGTGAAATACTGTGTAAATATTTCTTGAGAATTATCTCAAGTACCTGCTGTTTCGACATCTGTGGCAAGTTTATATGCAACAAGCTCTTTTCTGGACATTGGACTTTGCAATGTTAAAAAATAACATGAAATGGTAGTTTAATTATTTTTATTGAAGAAGAAAAAAAAAAAAAAAGTTAACCACACCATATTTCTTGCAATATAATAATTTTTTTTATTAGACCAAAAAAAAGCATTAGCTGACAACAGGGGTGGTAATGGCTGGAGTAATCGGAGCCTACAGGAAAGAGAAAAAGAGTCATAAGATTAAATTCTGAATTCTACTTTACAAATAATGATTTTTCATCATTCCCAAGCTCTATGACCATTTTTCCTATGTGGGATACAAAAGGAGAGGTTTAGCAGAATATCCAAGCTGCTCTTTTCCATACAATGAAAGTACAGGGTAAAAATGCACAAAATATTTGTACGGGAAAAAATAAAATAAATGTTCCACATTTCTGGATAAAGATATTATTAGGCTTTTATAAAAGTAAAAAGATTCACAAAAAATGCATTCACAATTAAGATGACTCAAATGTTTACGTTTACAAATATTGTATGCATTTTATTTGCAAAAACAAATAGAATGAGATCCAAAAAAAAATGTTAACTTCCAAAAAATCTCATTAGATTTAAAAATAAATATTTACACATTTAACTCGCAAATCTTACCCTATTTATTTGTGAAGGTTTAATTTTTGTAAATCTCATTTATTTGTGGATCATAGTCTATTTATCAGGAAAAAAACAACATAAAAAGAATCCCATACCATTTACTGTTATTGTACTGTATGCAAAACAGCGGTGTAAACATTCTTTAAAACATCTCCTTTTGTTCTCTAAAAGAATGTCATACATATAAATAAATATATACATACATGTAACTAGTATAGAAACCTCATCGTACCTCTTCAGGATCGTACAACTCATTAGCAAAGTTTTGAGAGTAGGTTGTGCGCTCTTCCACGTCAGTCACAAGCGTTTCTTTTTCAGTGGCCTCTTCCCTCGCTACTTGTGCCCTTCTGCAAATATAATCAAGGGGGGGGGGGGTAGTATGATATACAAGTATGCGCTTAATAAAATCAACATCTATTATAATTAAGAAATGATAACCTCCTCTTGAGGACGACAGTGGCCATCAGAGCACCTCCGAAGAGAAAGGTGAGTGTGAGCGCGAGCGCAGTGCTGCTGGAGGCGGCGTTCTGACACAGATCCCCGCTGTATCCCTCCTCACACTCACACACCGGCTCACCCTCCACACTCACACACGTCCCGTGACCGCTGCAGCGCTCCGCCTCACACGACTCACTGCCATCAGCAGAGCCCAGGGCAGGCAGACGGTCTGATTGTGCAGTGTCAAGTCCAGATTTGGATTTGACACCTGGTTTGATTTTCACACTGCCACCTGTCAACAAGCAGCACATTATTTAGGAGTTCAAACAGCTGATAAAGCCACCACAATAATCCACACCACTCCAGTCCATCAGTTAAAGGTGCAGTAGGAGATCTTGGAAAATGCTAACTTTAGCCTGATAGCACTGAAAGCGAATGTCCCACCCTCCCTGCA